GCTAATAATAATGCTGTTAGGCCTAGCTAAGTGTGTCTGATATTTAAAGATTTCCATCTTAAGATCACTTCTTTTAACTGTATCTGTATTCCAAAATAGTTTACCTTTTAACTCTAATACACAATAAATCTGAAGTATATATTTACATTTCTACAATTAAACATAAAATTTAATACATTAAAGATACGACAAGCATACGTGTGCATTTTCCTCATGGCAGAGAAATTGGGCCTTTTAAGACACTTCTTGTCAGGCTTTTACAGACTTTGTTACAACACAGTTGTATCAAAATCTCTTATAAGATTATCTGACAGATGTCGTTCACTGAATGTCAACGTCACATTTGTATTAATTCACCACATAGCTGCCTGAATCAGTTTAACTCATTACAAAGAATCTACAGAAATTACCAAGAGACATTCCTAACTTACTTATGTATTTTTCTTAATCACCTGATTTTTGAATAGTTTTTTTTTTGTCATTTTTATTGGTCAAGAATACATCTCACTCATTTTTATTGGTCAAGAATACATCTCACTCATTTTTATTGGTCAAGAATACATCTCACCCATTTTTATTGGTCAAGAATACATCTCACCCATTTTTATTGGTCAAGAATACATCTCACTCATTTTTATTGGTCAATAATACATCTCACATAATAGGAGCCTGGAAGATAATTAAAATGTTTGTTTGAGTAATGTAAACTTGAGGAAAAGGAACAGGTTGCAATGTTAGTTTAGAAAAATGTATTCAAAAGAGAATATTAAAACAATTCATCAAAGGAACAACAAATCACAGCTAGAGTCTGTTCTGATTGAAATGAAGGAACAACAAATCACAGCTAGTCTGTTCTGATTGAAATGAAGGAACAACAAATCACAGCTAGAGTCTGTTCTGATTGAAATGAAGGAACAACAAATCACAGCTAGAGTCTGTTCTGATTGAAATGAAGGAACAACAAATCACAGCTAGAGTCTGTTCTGATTGAAATGAAGGAACAACAAATCACAGTTAGAGTCTGTTCAGATTGAAATGACAGAACAACAAATCACAGCTAGAGTCTGTTCAGATTGAAATGACAGAACAACAAATCACAGCTAGAGTCTGTTCAGATTGAAATGACAGAACAACAAATCACAGCTAGAGTCTGTTCAGATTGAAATGAAGGAACAACAAATCACAGCTAGAGTCTGTTCTGATTGAAATGAAGGAACAACAAATCACAGCTAGAGTCTGTTCTGATTGAAATGAAGGAACAACTTGAAGGTTCAAGTTTTATAGAATTTCATAGAAACTAATTTCAGAGAAAGGTTTATAAAAATAAATATTGACTTAATTGTAAAAAGAGTAAATGAAAACTTTATTAACTGCCTGTATATATAATTAATGTTGTTAGGGTTTGTGTATGCAAATATTTGAGAATATAAACAGAAGTTTAACAATAAGTAAAAGGTTTGAAATTAAAATTAACGTACTAATATGTAAATAAAATTATAAACACACAAAATAAAAAAAAAACATTTTGGAGTATTGTACACAAACAACACAAAGGAACAAAACAAGAATAAAACATGAAAAATGTCATCTCCTTTATGAACCTAGGATCAACTTGTCATTTAAAATGTCATCTCCTTTATGAACCTAGGATCAACATGTCATCTCCTTTATGAACCTAGGATCAACTTGTCATTTA